AGCTGCCTGGCTGCCGGCCGCCATCTTGGCTGGCAGTTAATTTGTATATCTCCCTGATTAGCCAATGGGAAGGGTAGTGGTCGTACGCCAATTACCATGTTTCTCTTTTATTAGATAGGATAACAAAAGTTCCTTTGATGAAACATTTCAAAAGCTGACTGGAATGAAAATTCTAGAGTACTGAGTAGACACAATTGCTCAAAAGTGAAAAGAACAATTATGTTAATGGATTCTTCCATACAGATTACCTGCCTTACTGAAGTGTTCTTATGAATATTAAAACTTATACTGACTGCATACATTTCAAGCTTCAATCAGAATTCAAAACTATACTATAAATATGTCCCACAAAAAGCAGTAACCAGAGTTGTCATCACTCCCAGGAAACCACTTCGGAGAAAAATTCTTTCCAAATTATAGAAAGCAGAAAAACTGAATGATTACTTTGCCTTTAAAAGAGAGTACCATAAACCTTTCTTAATTAGAAGTGTAGTTATCACCTTCTTAGGATAGGTTTTATCGTAGTTGTGATGCATTCTTATTGCACTTAAAATTTTATCCACAATTACCACTTATGACTATTTTTTCATTACATTAAAATTAATGTTATTTTAATATCCATACTCTTTTATTAAATAAATAGAATACCACAACTAAATTTCACCAGAAAAATACTCTGTTTTCAATTTAAAATGATTTACCTGATTTGAAATGAAAACTTTGCAGTAAGGGCAAAATGGCTTACTTCCTTTAAAAACCATCTCATTTAAATGTTCATAGCATACTGTCACATAAAAAAAGTCTAGTTTTCAAGAAATGTATATTAGTATATATGCCTTAGTTATCTTTCAAAAATAGGCCACTGCCTTTATTCAAGGTCCTTACAACAGAGAAAACTCTGTTACTTCAAACTGAACAAAGCTGGGTAAGCAGCTATCCTAATGTTATTAAATAGCTTAGGGGTCATAGAAGATCATTGTCTACTTAGGACCATATGACATAAAAACATAGGCTGCATGTATAATATGTATACTATATATGCATAGAATATGTATATTCTAACATGTATAGAATATAGACTATGTATAGGAAAGAGTCTGAAAGAGATAATTTCAAAATGAACAGTGTTTACCTCTTGATGATATAAAACCTATAATTCAAATTTTCTATTTTGTTATTTATCTTTTCTCACTTATCTAAAAGAAAGGCTACATTTTTTTTAGACTCTACTGAACTGGTTTCAACAGCAGAACTTTTTCTTTATATGGTATACCTTTCAAGTTCTACTAAGGAAGAATAATTTTGAAGCTCTCTGTCACTTTTCTAAAATGGTCAACATTTCCTGGTACTCTAGTAAACTTGTTCTAAACATAGGATGTTAAACACATGCTAATTTTTATATGTATCAATTTTTAGATTCTGAAAATCCAATTCCTTATAGATTTACCTTCATCATACATTTCTTCTATTAAATAGGCCTCTGCTCGGTCTTTCAGAGCATTCACATTGTCAGGTTCCATCTGTAAAACCTCAGAACACACTCGAATAGCTTCAACAGGCTTCTCATCCTAAAAGTAAATGTGAGAAAAGGATTTATGGTTTCTACTCCATATGTTAAGTTCCTGCATTTCTGGGAATGGGTCAACTGTTACCTTAGAAAAGCAGTGGCAAATCCTTTCTTTTGAACGAATTGTATATTCAGAAACACTAGGCTCTGTCTTCATGACAGATTCATACTTGCTGGTCGCATCTGTGTATCTATTAAATGAGCAAATCATGATGAGCAATAAATTCTATTTCCAGAGCCACAGAAAAAACCTCTACTCTTCACTATCTGTTGCTTAATCCGTTTACCTGAATGAGCACATGCCTTCAAATACTGCTTTTACTTACTAATCTACAGTAGTAAGGAATGCACTACCTGCAATAAAGAGTTAAGATATAAAACACATGACCACAGGAAATGGTAACTCAGAGCATACTTGTGAGTACCAATCAAACACCTGATGAAATGCTCATGATTTTGAAACTGAATAAAATACCTTGTTAAATTCTGACTTTATAGAGCACTTATAGCAAAGCAGAGATAAGGTTTTATTTTTTGGTCACTCTAACTTTCATGAAATCATGGAACCCATTACATACATGCTACTTATTTTATATAATGAATGTTAATATTCACAACTAAGTACACAATGTACATCCTTGCAGAAGGAACCTGTTTAAATTGCTAACTTTACTAGCTTTTTAAGAACAATAAAAGCTATTTTGGCATTTTTAAAACTGTTGGAAAGTACTAGTCATGTTACACATTCTAAGTTATTTTCCTCAGTAATGGCAAACTAAAAGATATATAATATGGCACATTATTCTCAAAGTGCTACAATCTTCACCTTTAAATGCAGATGAATTAAAACACAGCTTTAAATGTAATATTTAAAACAGAAGCTAGCTATCTATGTCAAAATCTTAGTAGGGATATAGTTCTAAAGTTTTTCATAATGATAAAACAACTGTAGGAAATTGCACAGAGTACACGAGACCTTGCTTTACTTCTTACACCTACTTGTGAAGCTACAATTAGCTCAAAATAAAAAGCTCAATTAGAAAATACTACACTTCACTTAAAAAAAAATAGCTATCTTCCGGTAAGGTGGAATAAATGTACTTTCCCCAATTTGTCTACCTAGGTACAAATGAATACCCTAAACATTAGACAGTTTTTAAAATATTAAAAGACTAAGAAAGAGAAAGATGGTAGACCAGCTAGGGACCTCTAGACCTGAGGGAAAGCAATGTGGTAAGTCCTTGGGTTTCTCTTTTGCTTCACAGACCCCAGACTTGGAGCTGAGGAAGCCAGCAACCCAGAAATGCTAATTGGTACAAATACACACACATACATAAAACAAACAAAAAGCAAAAACCTGTTGCCCCAAGCCAAAAGACCTGGAAAGAGCAGCTTAACAAGACAGAATAGTGGCTCTACACCAGCCAAACACCAGAGAAAATTATGGCACACTTCCCACCCCTCCATCAACGCCAGCAGGTCGTGTGCAGAGCGCCCAGCCTTCTTCCATGGTTAGACTAATGAGCTGTGCCACATCCATACCAAGGTGCTGTCAGAGAAGGCCAGGTGAAGAGCCAGGACTTTCATCCATACTGAAAATGAGTCCCCCCCTAAACTCTCACCTGCACCAAAGAGTAGCAAGACGCCCCCACACCTCAAGTATCGATGAAGGCTGAGTGGGAAACTTCTACCTCCACTGCCCACCCCCACTGTGCTGGAACAATGTCAGAAAAACCCAGCCAAAATGGAAAAAACAGTCTTATATGTCCAGGTTTCAATTAAAAACCACTCCCATACCAAGCAACAGATCTCAAACTGAAAAAGACAATAAATTCAAACACTAACAGGACAGACATGTTTGAATTATCTGAAAAAAACTTTAAAGCAGCCATGAAAAAAGCAACCATGATAAACATGCTTAAAGCAAATGGGAAGAAAAAAACACACAAAAAAATCAGAATGGCCCAGCCAGCATAGCTCAGTGGTTAAATGTCAACCCATGAACGAGGAGGTCAAAGTTCAATTCCCCTCAGGGCACATGCCCGGGTTACAGGCTCGTGCAGGAGGCAGCCAATCGATGATTTTCTCTCATTATTGATGTTTCTGTCTCTCTCTCCCTCTCCCTTCCTCAATCTGAAATAAAAACATTTTTTTAAAAAAGTGCCTCAACAAAGAAACAAAAGATATAAAAGAATAACCAAACTGAATTTTTGCCTCAACAAAGAAACAGAAGATATAAAAGAATAACTAATTTTTAGAATTGAAAAACTGAAATAAAAGGGCCACTGAATGTGTTTAACAGCTGATTGAAGGAGAAAGGAAAGAATCAGTGAATTAGAACAACAGAAATTACCAAATATTAACAGAGAGAAAATAGGCAGACACAGTTGGCTCTCATAGCAAGTTAGCCTGGAGGTCAAATCACCCCCGGTATTGCCGACAACAATCAAGGCTTAACTACAACAAGACTGCGCACAAAGACCACAAGGGGGTGCACCAAGAAAGCATAAGTAATGCAGAGACAAAGAAACATGACAGAAATGGAGGATATAGAGCTAAAAAACGCACTTTTAAGGTCTGTCAATA